TGTTGTTGTTGTTGTCTTTGTTGTTTCCTTTGATTTCTGTTGCATACATATTTTTTCTAGGGTCCCAACCAGGCACCTAAGGTCTGAAATAGCTTCCTCGTATTTTACACTGATCATTTTTGTTAAAAATAATCGCACACACACACACACACAACTAAAATCCCGAACTTTTTACATAGATAAGGCTCCTCGTAATATGTAAACCGTATTATTTATTATTATTATTAGTCTTTTCTTTTTCTTTCACATGTTTTTGGATTCAACCAGAGATCTTGCATTCTTGACTCTAACAAGTCATACGACCTCAAATAGATAATACCTGACGCAGAATATTTGCAGTGCCAAACAACGTAGATTTTGAAGTGAGTGAAAACTTGGCACCGATTTTCTTAATGCAGGTGTTTAACTTCGTTTGTACAGACCCCAGTGCTCCAATGATAACTTGAACAAAAATGGCCCGAACGTTCCACTTACTGTCAGCCTCAGTACGGAGGTCAATGTACATCTCCAATATATTTGGCTTTGATATTATGGTCACCAATGACAGCCCCATTTTTCAACAGCGGTGATGTCTGGTGCGGTGGCCTCAACGATAACCCGTTCTGCATGTCAACCACCTCTTCTGTAGGAAACCAATTAATCCTCCGTATCTTCTGAATCTATCCCATCAAACTTGTTTCAGGAATATCAAACATTCTTAATTCTTTACAGTGAGAAAGAGATCCGATGTCAGGTTTTTCTTTCGGTAAAAATAGTATATGGCACACAAAAATAATAATAATAATAATAATAATAATAATAATAATAATAATAATAATACACCTACTGCAGCGGCAAAAATCTTAAAAAAAGAGAGCAAAAGCAGGTGCAATGGACAAGATACAGAACTCTGTCCGTACGAAACAAGCTGCGCCCATCAGTGGTTATGTCGTGCAGTAGTGCATGGTTAAATGCTGAAACTAAAGGTTTTATTCTTACTGTAATGGCTTTTAAATTCTAAATAGTTGTGCCTCGAATTTGGAGAATATTTGCCAGACTAAAGAAGGCGATGTATTTATTTAGATCAATAATGCATATTTGGGCAACTAAAACTGATAAATTTTTATAACGCTGCTGACTGGCTATGCTGAACCATTTTGACAAAATAGGAAATTATCATTTACTAGCAATAAATTACTCTAAAGACGCTGACAACGATTCCTCATGGGCGTCGCCATATTGTCTTCGAACGAGCATTTTCATAAAAAACTAATCTGGGCGATACCTCTATCACCCACGCAAAACAGGTGGCATTATACGCTACTCTGAGTTTGTACTGGTTTTGAAAATTACACTAAATGTTACTTAGTTTATAACAAACTTCGTTGGCCAACATTTTACTGTGTCTTAAGCACACACACGCACAAACACACACACGCACACACACGTTTAAGGACCTTGTGGCACGCAGTGCACCAGGCCTCTGTATTCGGCCCTTTCAAATGTGTAAATGGTTCTGCACAAAACATTCACCACTATAATCAAATCTTATCTGTTGGTGCCGGGATGGATATATATATATATATATATATATATATATATATATATATATATATATATATATATATATATATATAAAAAACATTATAATATGTGTGTGTATATATATATATATATTAAAGATTATAAGAAAAACATTTGACAACGTTAAAAGCTTTCATGTTTCAATACTATGATTGTACTTCGTCAGGTGATGGTAGATAACTTGTGATAGAAAATGATTTATTTGTAAAACTTAAAAAAGCGTTACCTTAGGGGGAGTGTAAGGTTACAATAAATTAATTGTTATTATAATCTCTTATCATAAAAATTATGTAAAATTTTCGTGTACTTTGTATTTAGCACTTTTAAAAAAGTAAATGCTACGAACTGTGGCGTTTTACTCTATCTGTTCTGTCGCTTACATACACACACACACACACACACATATATATGTATATATATATATATATATATAGCTGGCCACTAGTATTTGACGATACCCGTTAACTGGGGCGGCTAGACGATCCATAGTGCTGAGGGTTGCTCAGTATAAATATATGTATATCTATCTATCTATTTATATATATATATATATATATATATATATATATATATATGTGTATTTATGTGTGCATATATGTATATGTATACATATATATACATACACACATACGTACACACACACACACACATGTATATATATATATATATATATATATATATATATATATATATATATATATATATATATATATCCAAGTTTAGGATTGGTGTATACGGAATAAATTCCAATTAACCAACAAATACTTTTCGTAAAAGAGTGCTCAATACAAAGTAGAGCAAATATAATTATTTATTCTAAAATTATAGGATAAATATGTTATAAAATCACTACAAAAACAGCCATTTTGTTTTAATACTTCTGGTATCTTATCAAGTGATGGTGTTGAATGTAGAATAAAGAGTTCTACATTCAACACTATCACTTGATATGACACCAAAGTGTTGAAACAAAATGATTTATATTATAATTTTCTAATAATATATATATATATATATATATATATATATATATATATATATATATATGTCTATTAAAATAACAAATATAACATTGGTGGGACCAACAGAGAACATGATAAAAACTCTTCAAGGAACAGTCTCTAATAAAAATAACAATACTGAAAAAAGAAAGGGAAAAAAAGCCTGAAAGCAAACCTACTAAATAAAGGAAAGTACTCGAAGTTTGTATTGCCTAAACAGAGCAAAAAACATTTACCGACGTTAAATCCTATGAAAGGATGGCTCTAGTCGTAACACGAGTTTCACACTCACGCGATCTTCAGACGACTTGAAAGGGATCACGCAATGTAAGTTTCTTAAGGGCGTATAATTACGTATATAGCATCAACATAACAATACTAATGTAGAGTTCTGTGAGCTAGACTATTTGACAGAATTGCATTATATGCATAACAGAAAATTATCCAGACCGATTATTTCTATGCATCGATTTCTCAGGCATAAATAGCTAAAAGGTAATGCTTTCTTTCTTTTTTTTTCTTAATTTGAACCCAGTGTGTGCCCGTCTGCGTGTGGGCGTGTGCACATGTACAATCTTCCAAATAATTTGATTTGCATGTAAAGTTTAATTAATAATTATCGCAAAATTCTAAAACAGCAAATTGCAACCGGCGAAGTATTTTGTGTTTTTAGCAAAATACAATCATCATATTTTTTGAGATTTACATTAAGTAATTCATTTTCCACTGACCAGAAACGGAATCTTGAAATCTTCCATATTACTCAGAATCATCTTCATTCAACCAAATTCCTTATTCTGCCACATGACACCTAATCTTGAGACGTCTCTTGTAGACAGATTCCACAATTAAACACCATTATGATTACTACATTACTAGTACGACGCGACTGAAAGACCTGCTACAGGGTGAAAAGAATTGTGTTATATATTTTACTATTAGTGACTCAATAGAAGACCCAAGAGTTACTCAAGGTAGAGTATTAACAAATAAGGGCACAAGAGTGTATGTTATGAAGATATATGTAAATAGATATCGATTGACCGTAGACTTGAAGAGGTTATGCTTGTACTAATAGGGAATCATAGAGTTCGTTCATTAATGTAACAGTTCTTGGAAAAAGTTGTCTGAGTGGGAAATCCTCTTCACCAGTAGAATATGAAGGGAATGAGGAGAAATCGACTCCGTGTACGTGGCATGGTGGGGTCCTACCTGTGAAGCTCCGGACTGGTGGAACGAAGAAGTAGTATTCGCCTGAACATTTATCATGGACATAGGAAGAGAATAGCGAGAGGCGAGCAAAGTTTTCTCTGTGGGAAACGGGTTGTAGAGTGAAACATAATTCATCACCCGCAAGGTCGCTCAAACCCTTTAGAATTTTGTCGAAAATGGTAAGTTAGGTTTGAGCAAATTCAGCCCAGATGATCATACACTTGTAGAAATAGAGCATGCTAGGAGTAGCCAGATACTCTCAGCTGCTGTGAAGGAAACCATCCATTTATCCCAGTGTCTTTAGCAACGCAATTTATATATGTTGGGGCGCACCCACCTTCTAACTAGAAATAGACTAGTCCCTCTTATATAAGTCAGCTCTAGAGAGAGAGCGTCAGCAACAGCAGTCCAGATACTTTCTGAGCGACTGATCGGTTCAACTCTCTGTCTCCGGACGGAGAGGAACCCGAAGGAGGCTACGCCGAAGGGCGAAGTCTCCTTCGGGGAGTTAAACTCGACCCTGAACCCGTTTATACGGGTTCAAATGGAAGCTATTTTTGGCCGAGCCTAATGGCTCGGGAATGCCCACATTAAAAAGGCCTTGTGCCGCATGACACCCTCGTGGGTGGGTGGCTGAATATCACAGCAGTCCAGATAAGCTTACTCGTTACATACCGTTGGACTATAGACTTTGGATATTGTTTCGTACTAACCAACCTTCGTTCTACTAATCACTCTATTGTTAATTGCTTTTATGAATATACCAGTATTTTCCTCTACAACTGTGTTTGTCTTGATTCATACACCGACACGCGGGAAACTCACAACATCTCAACAATATATAAGTTTCAAATAAGGTCTAGTGTGAGCTTGAGTTCCAGTAGACGTACAAGATAAGGAGTCTAATAGAGAGGCGTTTATCATGATTGGAGAGAACACAGAGACTGCTGTATAATTATGAAACATTATTGACTTGGTTTGACTCAGAGACTGCTGTATAATTATGAAACATTATTGACTTGGTTTGACTTGGTTTTAAAGGCTTGAATAAGACTTTTCAGGTCTTCTTCCACTGTGCTCTGCTGAAAACTCTTCGATAGTGGAAACTTGGTGGGGGGTGATTATAATTCCAAAATCAAACAGCATTAAAATGATCAAATCCATATATGCAACAAAATATTAAAAAAAACAAAAAAAAATTAAAGGTATGATTTATTTTCTTACCGTTGTCATCAGGAAATGAAACATAAGCTGGGCATTTTTTAGTGACAGATTTGCCAGCTGGGGTTCTTTTCCAGCAACTAAAACCGTCCCAGGTGTGGTTGCATGTACTTCTGTCTGGGTTCGTTTCATTCCGCTTCAGCTCCAATGCCTCGCTCTCTTTTTGTAGCTTGCAACATTCTTCGGCGTTATCGATGCAATGATTCCAATAATTGCATTCAGATTTCGACAAAATCAT